CTCTCTCTCTCTCTCTCTCTCTCTCTCTCTCTCTCTCTCTCTGTGGCCTTGTCCAAGCTACGAAGTTAGATCCAAGTTATCTGCTTCAAGTCATCCAGTTGCAGAAAGCAGAGATGCTCAGCCTCCCACGGAGGAGAAGCAGGAGAGAGAAGAAAGACTAGGGGAAGGAACGGTGGTGGGCACACTGTAGGCAGTGAACATGTGTTGGTTGAAGGGAGCAAGGACTAGAGACAATGAAGAGAGTCTCTAGAAGGGAGGAAAGGGAAGAAATAGCTGGGGACATGGGAAGTAGGACCAGGCCGGAGAATTCAATGATAAGGTTTGAAATAGAGATGCAGTTCTTCGGGCTTACAGCGCTGCCCGGGCGCCAAAGAAAGCTTCAGGACAGTATTCGCTGGGGCTTTGCGATGGATTTTGGATGGGTGAAGCAGTCGCGCCATGATCTCTATGCCATCCATCAACCTGAAACACATGCCAAGCCATCAGCAATGACCATAGCAATTTATTACAACCAGAAATGAATAACACTGGCTACTGCAGGTTTCCTTCCCCTCCCTTTCTGCTCCTCTTCCCCACTCCTTCCCCACTCCTTCCCCACCCCTTTCCCCATCCATCAACCTGCAACACATGCCAATTTATCAGCAATGAACGTACCCATAATTACAACCAGGAACTTATTTGACTGGTTACCGTACCACATGGGTTTCGTTTCTCTCCCCTTCATTGATTTCTGGCTGTGATCCCTCGGTTGTCTCCCCTTCGCCTTCCTATCCTTCGTTTTTGTGCTTCCCCTTTCCTTCCCTCCCCCTTCCCTCCTTTTGGCAACGCATGCCAACTCAACTCATCAGCACTGACAGTAACAATTTAATATAAAAAATAATAACATGGTCTAATCAAGACCAGAACCAGAAAGTTATTAGGTTTCCTTTCCTCTGCTTCCCCTCCCCTTCCGCTCCTCTTGTCCGCACCGCCCCTCCCCTTCTCCTTTCACCCTTTCGGCCTTCCCTTCTCTCTCCTTTCCTTCCCTCCCTCCATACCTTATTCCTTCCCTTTCGCTCACCTTTCCCTGTGTTCACCTATCCCTTTGCCTCGTCATCCCTCCCCTTCCCCCCCTTCCCCTCCCCCCCTTTCCCTTTGCCTCCTCTTCCCTCCCCTTCCCCCCT